ACCATCATTTCATTCACAAGGTGTCCCCACAGGCCAGCTGGAGTATTGGGGGGATGTCACAGAAGAAGTGGTTGATGAGTTAGAACTCCTCTGTCTCTCTTTCCATTCATTGGAGCTGGGCCAAGGGTAAGGGGAGTGACACCCCTCAGGTACACCATTCACGAGGCACTCACTTAGTTTCAAAGCTGATCCTGAGCTGCACAACCCTGCAAATGTGTGCCTCCTTAGATATTGCACCCCAGGTACCTCTTGACTTGAGATCAGTCCCAGGTCTGCCTTTTATTTCTCCATCCTGGGGCATTTGAAACTTGTGCACCAAACATAGTATAAATATAGTGTCATGTATAAGGAATATAGTCTTACTAAGAAAGACTGGATTAGAATTATGGCCACACTACCTGCTAGCTGTGTGACCTCATGCAAGTTACTTAATCTTCCTGTGACATGGTTCATTTGGTACAAAATTCACTGACAAATGTATAAGCACTTAGGATTGTTAGATGTATTAATTCATTTAATACAACTGGGAAGTCTTGAAATTTATAAAAGTATCTGTAAACGTTAGCTGTTATTGTTGCCATTAGTGTCATTCGTGTCTCCATTATAATCATAATCTTTATCATCACTTTTATGATCATCATGATGGTCTTCATCATGGACCATGTATAAAAGTCTTATATGAAACCTTAAATGAAAAGGAAAATATACCTATGCTTTCACGAATAAAACATATAAGTAAGTAAATACACTAAATCATGCTAAATGATCAATGATGTAATGAGTTGGTGAAGTTGAACACAGAGCAGGAGCTAACACTGTCTTATCCACAGGTGTTCAATCATAACTAAAACTACAAATAGCATAAGTGTCAAAGAAACTACTGATGGAAATTTCCAGAGATGGATGCACCAAATAATCTCTTAATGTGAGTTGCTGATTTGAGACTCTGGAATTGGAATAATGAGCATTAATATTCTGCCGACAGATGCTGACTTTCCCTGATTATACAGTTTAAAGGTTTGATAGTTTCAAACATATTAGAAGGGGTTAAAGACACAGAAGCTTAGACAATCTAATGTAATGTAACTGTGTGAGCTGTGTGTAATCTGGAAAATAATTGCTAACATTTTTTTAAATTTATATTTTTATATTGGAGTGGAGGTAGTAGGAAAGAAAGCATCCCCTATACTGGGTCCTACTCAGTAGCAGCTTCTTGTTCCATAGGGCTAAGGAAGACTTTGAGGAAATAAAAGTTGTTTGAAAAAAATCCAGGTGTAGTTGCTTTGTATGTTGTGGTGGGTAGAAGGGATGAAGTGAAGTGTTAGGCCCTCACACCCTCCATCTTGCCTCAGACTATGTCCTGGACCCTGGGGCTGAGAAACTGCCACTTTTCATTCCTGCTTCTTGGGATTGTTGAGGGCCACGTAGTGATAGAGAACGACAAGCAGGAAGAGCGACACGCCCAGCATGTTGGCAAAGATGGTGAGCTGCACGTCTGTGATCATCCTGATCAACTTGGTTCGGCTCCGACGCGCTCTGCGCACTAGCTCGAGGTAGGAGAGTTGCAATTTCCAACATTTTGCTCCACTTTTAAATTCATAGATTTTAAAAAAAATATATGAATTGGCATGGGAGTAGCTGTTTGATGCACAGTTATAAAAACGATAAAATAACTTAAAGTAAATGACCTTGGAATCATAATTGCTAAGTAGAAGTTAGAAATATGGGCAAAGCAAACTGGTTGAGACAGGTACGCATGTTCTGTTATATCATGTGCTTTTGCAGAAAGTTATTAGGAAGAGAACTAACTTCATGTAAGCTTTTTATTGGTCTTATGACTGGAGTAATTTCACATGGACGCATAGTAGGTTAAATAAATTGGATCCTGATATTTATTGATGCTCTAAAATGTCTAGATTTTTCCAGGAGTCAGAGGTAGTGCATAGCAATACTCATTTATCCATTCACTCATTTAATTAAACATTCAAATATTCATTATTCATTGGCTGTTGGCCAGTCTCTGTGCCACAGAATGAGAGAACACTAACAAATGCAAGTGTGATGATTTAGGAAGTTATTTAGGCAAATCGTCTTATACAATTCTTACATTACTTGAGCCAAAATCTTAACAGATTAAATTCTGTTTTTAGTTTTTGCATAGTTTATATGATGCACATTACTATTTTATTCATGAGGTAGAATTAATATTCTTCTTTAGGCATAGAGCACTGAAGACAGATAAGTTGGCCTAGTATATATCCTGTCACAGAAAATTGTAGGTTAGTATTTAAAATACATCATAAAAATACATCATAATATGGAGGAACAACTGATAGCTGTTAGTTGAGAGGGGGTGGGGATGAGGGACAAGGGGAAGGGGTTAGACAGCATAAATATGTAACTACAATATTGCCACAGGGACATGAAAGACAGTTCGAGGAAGATAATTAATAAAGTTGTAAATATTTTGTAGGGTGTCAGGTGGTCACATGTCTTGCTAGGGAGACCGCATGATGGATGGGGAAGAGGCTTGATCAGTGCACTGTACACCTGAAGCTGATGTTGTATAATATGTATGTCAACTATAAGTGAATATATATATATATATGTATAATCATGGGACGTGGAGTATAGTGTGGGAGTGGAGGCAAGAGAATTGTAATAGATATGTATGATATTGGGGGGAAGTGGGGCAGCGGATTGGGGGAGGGGTGTTGTCACTTCAAGGGGTAAAAAGTATAACTATTGCACTGTGTTGTACAGCTGAAACTAATTCTAAAAAATGTGTATTCCATAATAAAATAAAATTAAAATTAAAAAATACATCATAAGCTGGAAGTGGTTAACATTTTAAAGGGAGAATATAGAGATTTAAAATGTTTCTCTGATAACTGTGTGGCATGCAGTTACAACAATTATGATCACACTCATCACACTATTTTTTAAGTAATAATTTTCTCAGGGCTGCAATAACATCCTTGTTCCTAAGGCTGTATATCATGGGATTAAACATGGGAGTCACTNAAATATTTTCGGTTTATTTCTCTGGTATTCCACTGAAATAATTACTTCTTTTCATGTGGAGATTGTGATATCCATTACACTAACTATCATTCCAATGTATATAATGCTTATATTCAGAAGACGTTCTTTCTAGGAAATAGAAATCAGGAAATGCAATTCAGAAGGCTTTTTCCTCTAGAAGTCTCTACAGATAAAATGAAAACATGCCAGTGTCTTTAATATTTTCAGGTTGAATTATCCTGGAACTTAACTCTTAACAAACAAGAAATCCCTTAGCTAGTAGTAGAATCGAAAATCATTTCAATAAAGTGCATTCACTATCTTGCTTCTCCTTACTTATACGTAATTACCTTTTTATTAGAGGTGATCCCCAGATTCACTTCATGCAAAATACTTAAATGTGTGTTTAGCAAAAGTAATCAATAAACGTTAGCACCTAAGATGATGATAACATGATTATTACGATGATGGTAATGACAATGACAATAAATGTGATATATTGGCACATTATATTAAGTGTAATTTGTATTTTCTCATTTGATGTTGTAATAATGAGTCAAAAAAAGGTGAAAGTCTACTTGAATCAGTGTCTTGAAACCTAAACATCAGTAACAACAACAAAGATTTTTATTAAATTTTCTGTAAATAAGTATTCTATGCCGATGCTGAAATATTGCAGCTAAATGTAAAAATAGTCTGAACAAAAATAATTCACGCATACCTGTTTGGATTGACGTTAAATATAATGCTTACCTTCGCTGACTTAACTGAAAGATAGAGCATGAGGAAAAAAGATTTTGGTTCTTTTTCTTTTTTTAAGATTAGGTCATTTATTTTACTTGAAACAGAGGTTAACCACCTTCTAAAATATGCTCTGTGCTCATAGCAAATAGTGCTCTTTAAGTAGGAGACATTCTTTACCCTTGGGATCAGCTTCTTTCCCAAGTGACTTTCTAGTAGAATTAAACCATTCTGCCAGCCACTCAGGGAGTTTGGAACAACAGCCAAACACACATTTTTCCATACGGCTCCTTCTCTAAATTCTCTACCTCTCTTCTTTGTGATTATTAAAAAATATAGGACTAAAAATTATCAGAAATTTATAATTTCATGTGACTTATGATATACACTAATATGGTTTAAAATGCAAATGTGTAGTGTCTTCAATTAGAGAGGAGCTTATTTCTCTGTCATTAAAAATGCAGAAGAAATAAATCTAGGACTGTTGCAGCTATAATGTCATCTTCAACATGACTCACTCTTCCTTCAGCATACTCACATGGGCCAGGCAGGGCTCGTCATCTCTCAGACTACAGAAAGGGGTGGGGCAACGTGCCACAATCAATAAAATAGAAAAAAATACATATAAACTTTAAAGTTTCTTTTCTAATCTAAGCCATTAAGAAAGTGAAAGACAAGTCACAGACAGACAATATTTGTATATCATGTGTTTTGTAAAAATTTGTATGCAGAGTGTATAAAGAATCCTCCAACTCAGTAGTAAAAGTCAACCCCATTTAATGTATGCAATAGATTTGAATAGATGTGACAACAAACAAGATCACAAGCATACACACAAAACTATCAAAATCACAGCTTGTTATGGAAAACCAAATTAAAGCCACAATGTAATTAATACACCTTCACACTCACCAAAATGACTATAATAAAATAGACAGGCAATAACAAGAGTGGGGACGATGTAGTACAAAGAACATAACGAAAAAATATTTTTATTAATTGATTTTTATCTCTAATTTATTATAAACTGCATTCTTGAGTACCTCCACTATTCTTTGGCATCAATTTATCTGTCTACAAAATGTAATAATGCCAACTCTTATTAATTATGTCACAGCAATATTATGAAAATATAGTCATGATCTTAGATCCAAAAAGTCCTGTTGGAAAATGTAAGAATGTTGGAGAAGGATGATTTGATGAAATCACTGTTTCATAGAATGAAGGCAACCCATTAAAACAATGACGTTTTAAAATTTAAACAATGTGAATGTAAATAATTCTATAACAATTTTCACATTTCCTTGCATCCTTAATCCTTTGAACGGAGAGCACTGTGCCCTGGCTTCTCAAGATGTGCATAAACGAATGCCTGCTACTTTCCTGGACGTCCAGAGCCTACTGCTGTTTGTAGACGTGGAGCATAGTTGAATGTTATACTGAATCTCCATAGAGCACTTATTTTTTTATGTTTCTTTTCTCTTCTTGCTCCTCATCAATTGATTTCCTAACCTCTAGAAATGTTTTCTAATTAACTAGTTTCATTTTTTCCTACTGTTTTTCATTGTCATCTGTCATTGTACTATCATCATTTATAAACTACATTCCCAAGGAAAGGTGTTGTTTTCTCTAAGAAATGATTTCTCCGTAGAGTCATGGCTAGGCCTAATTGGATACATAATTTTAATTAATGTCCATTAACAACCTGGTTTGCAAAATGGCCATGACAACCCTATGCAAATGAATGGTGTGTTTTCCAGTGTGTTTTATAACAGACTATATTACAATTGAATCTACTTCATCAATCCTCGTCAAAAGTTCTTACTGAGGAGAGACATTTCACAATAAAGTATAAATTCCCAAGAGTGATTTGTTATTTGTGGATACATGCATAACTGTATAACTGTATACAGACAGAAATGTCTCAGCATAAGTAATCTTAAATTTGAAAATAATTACCAATGTATAGACAGAAAATTGAGTTTAAGATAAACAGCTGTTGAAATTTTATTAAAAATGTATGATAAATCATTCCCTGTAAATAACTCTATTTTTTAGATGATGTAATTATTTACATAACAATTTTCTCAGTGCTGTTGTCACATCCTTGCTCCTTAGACTATATTATATATCATGTGGTTAAACAAGGGAGTCACAATAGTGTTGAA